ACACACACACACACACACACACACACACACACACACACACACACAGACACACACACACACACTTTTCTCAGAGGTATCGCTAACTCTGGGAGCTGTGGTGAGTCCTTATCCCTCAGTCAAATGCATCCTGGGCAGACTGTCAGTCCAGGTTCTTGAACGTCCTGATGAGTCGGTGAAAGTCCGACGAAACAGTCTGTTCGGCACAGTCATGCTTTTTTTATAGTGTATAGCGGATATGACAACACACACACACACACACACACACACACACACACACACACACACACACACACACACACACATGCACACACCACAAGTACACATGCATATGCACACGCACATGCACATGCACACACCGACACACGTACAGGCACAATGATGGGAATTTTCAGCAACTCCCACATCGTGAAATGACCGCAATTAGTGGGTCTGCTGCCGACCGATGGAGAAACTCGCAAAGTGGCCGTCTCCTTTTCCTCTTCGGCAATTGGACTTGGATAGCCCGACCGAGTGTCAAAGTCCAGAATATTTACATTAAAGTTGATTGAACTATTGTTACAAACTGCGTATGCCATGCAGCACATTCTGGCCGTGAAGCTAACGCTCTATCACTTCTGAGCCACAACCGGCCATCTTCCATCACTGCGGAGTGCGCTCTTCAGAGAATGACAGGCACCAATTCGAAAATGGTATCCGAAGATTCCGAACCCTTGTGTACACAGCCACGTTCTGCATGGGACTGAATTGGTGCCTGTCATTCCGTTTTGTGGAGCTAACACTCGATCACTTCTGAGACACAACCGACTAGCCTTCTTCCATCACTGTGGAGTGCACTCTGGGAAGTACTCCATGCGGTTACTTCCGTTTTGTGCAGGCTTTGAGTTTCTTCTTTGGCATATCATCATCATCATCGCTGCAGTCATCGTCGTCGTCATCATCACCCAAGGACTTGCAATTCTTTAATGACATATTTTTTTTCTTTTTCTTCTCTCCTTCAGCATTGAAGATGATAACTTCGGATGCATTACTCTTCTTCATCTTCCCATTCTCCGACTCCTCCAGATCGTCTGATGCACTTGGCCGCCAAATGAACAAGGACCTTGCAGAGAGCACAGGCACACAGCAAACGAGAATGCCATGCTGGATTAACAAGCCATCATAGTGATACAGCCATTGAAGGTACGCTCGGGTAGCGAACTACTAGAAACCGGATTTTGACATCCCATTTCTTTCCTCACTGTACAGCACAGCAAAGAAATTTAACTTGGCCACAGCAATTATTCGCGCTCACACACACACACACACACACACACACACACACACACACACACAGAGAGAGAGAGAGAGAGAGAGAGAGAGAGAGAGAGAGAGAGAGAGAGAGAGAGAGAGAGAGAGAGAGAGCATTTGCAATGCAGCTTTCTAGCTCAAATACCCAGACCTACTACAAACAACGCCAGTTCACCTTTTCCTCCAGCACCAAAGGAGATTTGTGGGTTCCAATTTTACTCAACCACCAAAGATTAATACACCCAAAAGAAAAAAAAAGAAAAAAAAAAAACCTTTAAAAAAGATCAATACACACATAGAACTAAGTTGAAGAGATCTCTCAAGTTCAAAAGATGAAACCCAAACATGCAACAAGATGAAAAAGTTGAAGAGGTCTCTCAAGTTAAACCACTAGTACCTTTGTCGTTTCGGAAAATAGCGGGCCTCCGACCTTTCAGGAGGCTGAAACGAAACGACGGCGTCCGAATACTTTGGGAACAGGCGTTTTCCCTCATTTCTGAAGCGGCAAAGGTACTAGTGGCTTAAAAAAAAGAAAACTCCACAACACATGGATCATAAACACATGGCAGACACCCAAAGTTTTTGTAATCCTCAAGATCCCCTGGTTCAAAGCCTGGCAGTTCAAAGAAAGGGTAGACCCGCTCAGCTGTCCTAAAATTGAAAATTGCGATCGTACAACCGGAAGGACTATACATGAATGTCAATCGCAATATATGGAAATCATTTCCCTACAAGCCTACGACTAAGACTCTTTTAGGGGGGGGGGGGGGGGGGGGAATTTGTATCTGCATGCACACCTTACATATGCACAGAACTGCCAGAAACCTAAACGCATTTTCAAATTTCTATCATAAGGGCCTTGTCTTCCTTGATCCTTCCTATTGTGGGGACCACGAGTCTGATTGAATTTCCGGCAGCAAGTCGCAAGAATTATCGTCATACATCTCTGACACTTCCAACAATTATGACCAAACTTCCGCCGAAAAGGCACCCATAAAAAAAAAAAGAAAAAAAAAAGGCACCCATCGTGACCCATGCATGGGATCGATTTCTTCACTGATGCTGGATTACCTGTCAGGTAAACCATATTTTATTATTTAATTTATTTTCCTTTCTGGGCTCCTCTCAGATCACCACTCTTGCGGTCTTCCATATTGAAATGAGTGCATGACCCCCAGCAACTATACTATTATAAACTACCCTTGCTTCTGAGTCCCTTTTTCCCGATGCTGATTTCTGCCGCGCTGAGTGTTGTCCCACTCTGTGGACACAAAAAAAAAAAAAAACACTGGTGTCACGAGCCTTTCCAATTCGTTAGGCCGAGATCTGAAAGACGCGGTGCGTTAAATCACCAGCTATCAGCCGCGGGGAAAAATAGAGTAGAAATGTTTCTAGTCGGATGAATTTGGGCCTTCCTGCCATGGCCCGTACGATTCCAAAAATCGTGGCTTGTAGACGGGCACGACTTTAGGAAGTACTGGTGGTTTAAGAGCAGCGTCAAAGAGTAGAAACGTTTCGAGTCGGATGAATTTGGGCGTTCCTGCAGTGGCCCGTACATTTCCAAAAATCGTGGCTTGTAGACGGGCACGAGCACATGGCCCCAGGCAACTGGAGAACCCATTTTGAGCCTCTCTGGACATTTAGGAGGCCGAGCGCCGTACGTAGATAAAATCAATTGGCGGTGAGCGGCCTCTGAAAGGGTCCAGCGACGGATAGCTGGCATGTGCTGGTGGTTTAAGCAAATTTATCACAAAGTAATTTAACATTTATTTATGGTTAATTAACTTCACTGACGCCCTGCAAGCTTTTCTGCACTTCATGTCCAGCTTGGAGTTGGAGCATCTCAATTGTGGGGATTGATTTCTGGATTTCAGTTTGGATCTGAGCTCAGGTCTGGAGTTATGGCATGCTCGCCGCTTGCATTTTTCTTATTTTTCTTTTGGTGCGAAAAAAGAAGGGCGGCAGCCTCGAGATATCAACATGGAACTGGCTGGGCCCAGGAAATTCCCCTAATTTCGTCAGTGAATACCATCATCGAGGCTTAAACTTTTTTTTTTTTTTTTTTTTTTTTTAACTTAATTGAAAGGTACAATCTTTTCATCCATAGTACGCCATCCTCATCCCGTGAGTTCTAGTCCATGGTATATTCAGTTCCTGTCCATTCTATCTTCATCGCGTGGTGACAGCCTATTTTTAGGACGGAGGTGCCTATTCACATCCCCTGCCCACAGAAAACCTCTATAGCTTTTCTGTTCAATTCAGAGATCGAGCCGTCCAGGAATGCTATTTTTGGGAATATAAATTCTGTCTATCCGGATCCTCCGGACAACGAAAAGCTCTGTCTTTTGTCCCATTCAGCGATGGAGGGGTCTGGGAATGTCCAGATTGAAGGGACGTGCCACAGTGCAACAAAAATAGAAAGGCATCGCTGGACGAAAGGTATGTACGTAGCTAGGGTGAGGTGGAGAAAAAATATCGGGAGAAGAAATAGTGTAGTGAATACAGCTGTTCCCCAATGAGGAGATGCCAGTTTTTTCTCCTTTTTTTTTTTCAAAGAAAGGCATCGATGGCCACTGGCCAGGCATTCTATTCTATACTAGAAACCTAAACTAACCCATAACAAGATTTTAGACAAAAGCCCGTAACAACATCCAAGATTTTTGAAAGGAGAAACAGTTTCGAAACTCGAGCATCAAAAAAAAAAAAAAAAAAAAAAAAAAAAAAAAAACAAACCTTGAGCATCGTACGCTGGACCCGCTTTCAAGTTTCCAGTGGTGATCTTATGTGGAGCCGTATTCGCTTTTTTTGCAGGATTCAGGCTCAGGAAGTAGTCCACTGGTTTCCAGCAGGTGGTGCTGGTCCCCACCGATAGATCGGAGCCACCTTGAGGAGTAGCTAGGGGTACATGCTCTTATCATTACCCCTAGCTGGACCCTCAGGATGTAATCCAAAAAAAAAAAAAAAAAAAAAAAAAAAAGAGGACTTTAGGCAAAAGGCAGCACCATACGCCCTGTGGCCACTCACAGTCACTCGGGCCACAACCCACTGGTGCTTTGTTCACGCTAGGAAAACGCGAATCTGGCCACTATAATTGTCAGGTTCATGCTTTCCAAGAGCCATTAGGGTGTGCACCTCGGTTACTCAAGTGACTCAAGCCAGCTTAAACAAGACTGGACTGAAGCCATCTGCGGATAATTTTTTTTATTTTTTTTTATTTTTTTTTTCCAGGAGGTCGTGTGCCTCAGATTGTACAATGCAGAGATGATTATGCTTCCTGAGATGATCGCCATTCACCCTGCAAGAAAACTATTTGGAAGTGAAACTTCTTTAGACAAGGTGGTGTTCGCCATCCCCGAACCAATGAGACTGAAATAGTTATACATCCCCGACTTATGCTGCTCATACAACACGTACAGTGGTGTGCAGTGGGAGTGCACAGGAAGGAAGGGGAAAAAATTGCGTGTGAAGGAAGACGATTAGAAGACCAGGTGCGGAAAATGCAAGGACAAGAAGATGGAGAGCAATGCAATTAAAAAAACATGGAGAAAATGAAAGTAGGAAGAGGAGGAAAAGATGTGGTGACGGGAGGGGAAACAGGAAGGGGGAGGGGGA